ATTATCATTATTATTTCCAATATTATTGTTTTAGTTGTGAAATTGTTCATATCTCAACCCAGGAGTCTCTTTTCCCTTCACCCCTTTTATTCTCTCCCCTATCCCTCGGAGGGGGGAGAGTGAGCAAGTGGTTTTTGTGTAAAACTACAACACAGCCCTACAACTTTGGATGTCCACCCTGGGCTCGGAGGTGTCACCAACTCCTATAATGTGGCCTCCCTCTGCACTGCTGTTTCTCTCTGCTCTGGACCCCAATAGTCCACGAGGCATTTTTTTGGTCTCAAAAAAAGTCATTGGATGGAGGAATTTGGTGGTAAACATCATGCTCCAGCAAATGGGATGCTCCGGTGCGGATGGCAGCATGGCTCTGACCTCTGCTATGGCTAATGGCCACTGAGTTGACAAATCCCACCCTTGCACATCCCCTCACCACAGCTTTGAGAATTGTTCATGGAGTAATTAACAGGTAAGTCATTCTGGAGTCATAAATCCTTTCTGTAAGAAGTTCTGTGACCAATCTTATGGACACCTATGTCTATGCAAGAAGAGCTGGGAATGTCCTCTCAAAGGGCAAAGTTGGGGTTTTTGCTTTTGTGTGTGTGTTTTGGTTTTTTTTTTTTTTCTTTTTCTTTTTGTCTTCCAGGTGGTAAGGAGCAAATACAAGGCTGTGAAAAATGACACTCTGGGAACTGTCTAAAAGTTATTAGCCCCATTGCAAACTGTATGTTTTCTTTCTCTAAATGGAAATTTTCTATATAAATCAATAGGCAGCAGGCTATTGGGGCTACCATTGATAACCTCAGTTAGTGCTTTTGTTGTCTACTGCTCCTTTCCAGGAAACACTTGATTTGTCTTGGCTGTTTTCAAGAATTATTAGTACTGGCTATAGTTACTCAAACCTTTTGATTAGCTAGAGACTTAATAAAGCTGTTTATACCCTATTTTTTATGGACGGCTTCAGCTCTAGGAATTGCTTCACTAATTGATTTCAGGATGGATTTGCTTGTGGCTGAGGAATTAATATCTGCAATGGCTCTTGCATGACAAATTCTTTCCCATAGCCATATTGTGCTTGGACTTCACTCTTATTTTTAAGAAAACAAATAACATGCTTGGCATAACTAACCACAGTTGAGGTTTTTCTTAAAAAATATGGTTCTACCATTATTTTAGTTACCTCTTACAGTATTTTTGTAACTTTGTGTTGCCACTACTCGAATTTTTCTCTAATGCTGGATTGTGTATGAGCTAAATTAAACCATGCAGAGCAGATGGATGAGTCCCTCTAGTTTACATGTGCTTTATATTTCATTGACTGCCATGGAGGGAAGGTGTTCAGGCAGCTATGTATCACCTCATGTGTTACTCTGCCTTTCTTTGTTTCTCTACAGCAGCGGTAACATTGGGATGTCCCTGATCTTGCAGTCTGTAGTGACCATATGATACTCCTTTTTTACTACCACTGGTTTGCTGGCATCATGGCTCAAAGGGGCAGCCGGTTTTCCTGCAGCCCTCTGCTTTCTTCCCTGCCTGCTGACACCTTTTCTGGTGGTGTCTTTGCTTTTTCTGGAGTCACCATGCAGGAATAAGCAGTTGCCCATGCAGCCCACAAGTGCCCTTCGATGCTGGATGAGATTGCAGATCCATTTGCAGCAGTCCTCTGCGATAGCTTTAAGGCTTAACTGCCTTTCATAGAATCACAGAATCACAGAATGGTTTGGGTTGGAAGGGACCTTAAAGATCACGGAGTTCCAACCCCCCTGCCATGGGCAGGGACACCTCCCACTAGCCCAGGTTGCTCAAAGCCTCATCCAGCCTGGCCTTTGCTCCCTAGCAAAGGGAGAGAAAAAACTGTGGTAACTGCCACCAGTAGTAAATGTTTATCTCATTCATTACATGAAGTTTTCCTATTTCCCACTGGATGTGTGTAGGGATTCAGACCTGCTATCCTGCATTCATCAGCAGAGACATCTTCTATTTGTAAGACAGAAAACGACTCAAGGAGAAGAAAAAAATATCTGATCATTGCTAGCTAGTCACTTTTCTAGTCTGATGAAAGTATCTATGTTCATACCTTCACTGTCTTGGTGCTTAGTCAGGAGATGGCAACAAAAATAGCATGTGCTCTGTAAGAATATTTACCTGTGCATGTTGTAGCTGTTAAGAGGAATTAAGAGGGTTTGACATTGACGGGACACAAGAAAGGAAGAGATCACTCTGTTTATTCCACTTTCAAATATACATGCTCTTAATTTGAAGTGCAGCTCTTGATGTAGTTCTTACATTATTTATTACTATTAGATAGCGAGTCTTTCTCAGCATATTTATTTTTTTAAAAAATTACACAGCTGAAATTAAATACAGCCACTTGTCAGTGTTAATGTTCTGGTTATTCTTACAATTATTATTGATAAGAGGTGACTTGCAAGTTAACAGCATGTGGATTGAGAAGGCAGCTGTTATTCTGTTACCTAAAAGCTTTTTGGAAAGTTTAGCTCAAGAGCAAATCATATTTCCTCTGTAGCGTGGGATGCTGAATCCCCAGCCTGCACACCTCTGCCAAAGGTGGCTGTGGCTATGGTGTGCTTGGCTAACAACTGAAGTACTGTACAGTCATGGATGTTTGAAATCAGTAAGTGTGGTGGTTTTTGGGGGTGCACAGGGGGTGTGTATTTTTGAGTTGCCAGAGTGTTTCTTCTCCTTTTGTTTCTTCTCTTCTCTCCTGCTCTCTGATGCTCTTCTCTTCATTCTCAGGTAGTCGATGCGGTTGGCTTCTGGATAGGTGACTTTGCAGAGAGGGATTTTGTAGATGGCTGGGTTGTCTGAATTTATCAGCAAAAAGAGAAGTGCGGAGAAACAAAAAGGCCAGGTGCAGAGTGGCAGCCCAAGCTGGAAGGGGAAAGGACAGACAGTCATGTCCCTTTTGGTGCTTCTTTTTGCACGTTCTCTTTGCTGACTTCTGGATCATAAAATCAATCACCGAATGGTTTGGGTTGGAAAGGATCTTAAAGATCATTGAGTTCCACCCCCCTGCCATGGGCAGGGACACCTCCCACTAGCCCAGGTTGCCCAAAGCCTCATCCAGCCTGGCCCAGATGCAGGAGCCTACATGGGGGCTACACGTGAGCTTGATTCTTGCTGGTCACTGAAGGTCTGGGAAGCTCCTCTACTACCAAATGTCAATTCAGCTGCTCACACAGAGGTATTGACTTTATCTGAAATGTACGGGGATACGTAAAGCATCCCACATTGGAAACCTCAGACCTTTTGGAGATGCAGCTGTTGACCAGAATGGCACCAATATGGAAGCAACTGAATCAGGCTCCAGAGCTGGGCTGACTGTAATGAAAGCCGACACACCCAGCTCACATGTAGACATTTAAATTCTCTGATAAATGAGCTGAATCCTGCCCTCTCTGTCCTGTAAATTGTCACATACTGAGAGCACTGTTCACACATATTCACTATCCTCAATGCCGGTGTGTTACTGCCATTGCATCCAACCCTCAGTCCTGCTCTGTGACCCCACCTCTTGACCTGAATTGGGGTCTGCCAAAAACAAGATCACAAGGAGAAAAAAGTGTTGTTTTTTTTGTTTGTTTGTTTGTTTGTTTGTTTTCTGCTGCATTCCAGAAGCAGGTGTGCTTAACAAAGCAACCCATGTGCAGGGACCTACGTGGTACTGAGTGGATGCCAGATCAATACATTCAATGCATGAAGCTGCTAGTTCAAAATTTTTTATTCTTTTAAGTTACTAAATCAATTTTATTAAAATATGGTTTTGCTTTAATCTCTCAGATGTTAAAGAAGAAACAAAGCCTGGCATACTGGCCTCACTGCTTTCTTGATCTGTCCAGATACAATGATTTTGTGCTTAAGAGAACCAATCTCCCCCTCATTTTAGTTCTCATATCCAGATAAAACTTAAATAATATCTGTGGGTAAGGTGGGAGAAAGACCTTGGAAGAAGCAAGGAAAAATTTAGAACATTGGGACTTGTTCAAAAATACTGCCTGCAGCTAAGCATTGCATCTCAAACCATACGCTGTTGTGGGAATTCACGTCTACATATACAGTCCTGCTGTGGACAACATGCTCCAAAGGTCTTTGAAATCTTATTAACAGCTGCAGAGTCTGCAAGTGCAGAATTCAACTGACAGGGAATCTGTACGAGACCTGCCGTTAGCTGCAGCATTCTCATTTCAGTGCTGTCAAAACTGACATGGAGAATGTTGAGGCATTTCCTTAACAAATATATCATAACAAATCAAAATACAGTTAATGAAACCAAACCCATAAATCCCCGCCCCCCCCCAAAAAAACAAAAACCAAAAACCAACAACCCCAAACTTACCACAGATAGGCTATTAGCAAAAGCTTCTCCGGAGTAGGCACAAAATAATGCTGGAAAAGAAGAGCAAAGACAGCTCAAAATGACAAAAATACTGTTCATCTCTCCAAAGAAATTACCAGAAATAGTAATATTGTCCAAATGTACAGTAAAATATCCTCCCAGCTACCTGACATGAGGATTAATGTTAGAATTCAACAATTAGTTAAAATACCCAATGCTACGTCTGGCCGTAAGGACTACTTTCAGTCCTATCTGCTCTGTAAAGACGGATGGCAAATGAAGAGTGTGGTTTTGTCAAGAGTAGGTGACAGTCATATTTCTTCTATCGGTTGGCACAACTTGACCTGTGTACAGTGGCGGATCACAGAAATTCTCCACCAGAGTCTGTCCTGTGGCTTCAAACCATAAGCAGTTGGCAGTGGGATTCCTGGCCCCAGGAGGTGGCAGAGCAGGAGATAAGGCACCCAAGGACAAAGTCAAGGAAGGAAAAGCTCCTGAGCAATCCAGAAACTGTGCACAGGACAGAAAACTACTGAAATATAAATAGTTGGAGGCTGAGTGAGCCTTCATGGGAATTTTGTATGTGCTACACTGTTCTTAAACTCTTCCCATAGAGTCTGTTTTAGACTGCTGTTGGAGTCAAAGTCTTTGCGTAGATGGATTTCAAACTGACCTTGTGCAACAGCTCTATTTTTATGACACACTTCCTCTAATGATGCATACAGTTATGAAAAGGCTGCTTCTATGAATCTGTTGAGTTGCTGATTTGTTAAACTTCTGCTCATGGCATAGCTTGTGCTCCTTTTGAAAACAGTACTTATAAAATCATAGAATCATAGAATGGTTTGTGTTGGAAGGGACCTTAAAGATCATCAAGTTCCAACCCCCCTGCCCCTTTCTAGATGTTTTTGTGTTAGCAAAGCCTTCTCTCTGCACTTACAGCTTGTACAGCCAAGCTCAACTCTGAAGCCATCACTGCAATAACTCTTGCATAGTACCTAGTTTTGCAGCACAGCGATAGTTGACTCTAAACCTGTACTTCTCACACTCTGCCTGGCTGCATAAGTTTTTGTCTTCCCTTTACGTAAAACATACATACCACAGGCGAGTGACAGCAGGTGAGTCTGCCAGGTCAGGGCATAGAACATGCCCCCAATCGCAATGCATGCGAGCGCGCAGTTGTAATTTTGTAAGCCAAGGTAGATGCTGTCAAACGGTGATGCAATGCTCAGTGCTGCAAGAAAAAAGGCAAGGCTGTGAGGTCAGGTATGAGAGGTATCTGCAGGAGGACCCATCACTTGCTGGGAATCCATCGTCTCTTCCCTATGACATCTAGACAAAGTTAACTGCTCGCACTTGCATAACACGCAAATACAAGAAAAAGATGAAATAGAATGAAGCTCGTTATTTTGGAGCTCTGGTAACGTCTCTAGGGTTGGAATTTGACCCAGTCTCAAAGGTGTCTTTCAGGCAAAAGTTTCTGTGTATGCACTGAGTGTATTGTAGTTAGTCCCCCAGATGGAGGATCCAGCCAGAGTGTGGGGGGACCTTCTCACCTGGGTGTCCTTCGTGCAGAAACCTGTGCTCACATGTGCTGTTTAAACCTCATCTGTACCCTGATCTTGAATGTCAGAGGCACAGCTGAGTGTCTTTTGTGGGAGTAAGCAAGGTTTTCCGTCTCTTCCTAGTGACCTTTGCTAGATGTGGCCATGATACTAGATGTGGTCACTCCATCATTGCTGTGGAAATTCTCCCCTGGGTTGGGACCTGAGGGTCTGCTCCAAGACTGACCTCATAGGTACTTCTGCAGGGTTCCTCAGAGGCTTCAGGAGTACCAGTAAAAAAAAGAGCACAATATATAGTGCACAGGCCACCTTCATGTCACTCCTAAGATTAATGCATTTCTTGCTATAATGTCCTCATTCATCTTCTGTTTTGTCACCATGCTTATCCCCAGATACTTACCCCTGACCTTTCTCTTCTAAATTAAATATCAGACCTGTACAAAACTGGCCAAATGCTCTTAGCCATACAAATCATGGATAGTTTTGTTTAAAAACACAAATATAAGGCAGCTCACATCTTGTACCAAGTGCTTCAGAGCACAGAGAACTTATTGTTGGATGACTATGCCTTTTCCAAGGTTTTTGTCTAAGACTCCACTTATCCCATAATATTTTTTTAATTACAATCGGTCACATAAGTGGCATTAATCTTGTCTAACTTCAAGCGTCAGATTCATCTCTCTTAAGGTTGTTTCTCTGGTTAGTGGAGTGACAGGCCATTTTGGGTAGCATTCATTTAGCTTTTTTTACAAATCTGCAGCAGAATAGAATGAACTGCATTCCAGAAGAGTCTGTTTCTTTTCATTGACTGATCAGCTCTGAGGTAGACATCTGCATGTGGTGGTAATTTAAAACACTTACGATGGCAAGAGATCAGTTCTGAAACTGTTCCTTAGGGTTCTTTATCGTCATCTCCATGGCATTCACCATATCCAATGGCAGGAGGGTTAAGCAATGTGGAACAAACCACCTGACTGAGTTACAAATCTAATAATGAATTCAAAGCTTAAAAAAAATCTGCTTCTGTTCTTGTCTTCACCTTGTTGCGTGAGCTTCAGTAAGACCTTCCAAATTTAGCGAGAGTTTCAAAAATGGGAGTGTTGTCCCAAGTATGTCCAAGCCTACACAACTCTAAAGTCTGGACAGACTGATATAATGGCTAGCTTCAAGATACCCTAGTTAAAAAGTTACTTTGGAAAATATTTCTTACCTGCCAACATTCCCACTGTCGATCCAATTGCAGCATGTAAACAAATTAGTGGGGAGGAGATAAGTAAAGCAACAAGGATGATGCCTCCAGTCCAGGGGTTTTCACAACCATACACTTGACCAACACCGACTGGGATGGACTGCAAGAGCTGCAGCAGCCAGTAGAAAAGGGCATGTTATTGTATCTCTGTACTCTAAAGGACAAAGCAGTTATTTTGTCCAAGCTATCGGTTTGAAAGGAAGGAAGCAACCCTGGCTCTGAGTGGGACTGATAGGTATATGTGGGTTCTCATGCCCTTCAAACCAGAGTTAGTTCCTTCCTAGGCAATAGTACTATGGTGATTGAGTGATAAATATTGATTTGAGTTTATTTTATAGGAAACATATCAGTTACCCTTACGCTGCTTTGGGAAGGTGATCCTTCAGAACTAGAGCTAGACCCGAGGGGACTGGGTATAAATGAGTTTCTGTCCCTTCAGGATCCTGATGTTTCTTCTGTCTTTTCCTACTATCACTGACTGTCTTGCTGATGTCCTTTTAACCACATCTGGACAGCGGGAGTGCATATCCAGATGTGCTTCGGTATTGACATCACTGAAGACTTTTGGAGAAGTCCAATTTTAGGTGAAGCTCTTTTCCCCTGGGCTCCATCAGCCTTTCTGCTGGATGAGCCAGGACTTTCCCTGGGGCTTTTATAGCACTGTCCTCTATGGACTGAACGGAGCCATGCATTTCTGTGAATTGCTACTGGCTGTACATGTCGTGTAGCTGTTCTGACCCATGTGAAATTGTTATCCCAAGCTGAATGCCTTCACACTCACCTTTTTAATGACATAACATAAACTCATTGGAGTGAAGCTTACCAGTGGCACATCGATTGCAGACCAGGTAATATTGGGCACTGATGCTACAGGCTTGATGAGGGTTGTAGGGAAGAAGGGGTTGTAGGGTCCTGTGGCTGCCAAGTACAAAGTCACTGCAATGTTGAAGGGCAGAGTGAAAACAGGAAGGTCCCATTTACTGAAGATGGATCCCAAAGCCCTGGTCAGGACTGGACTGAGAACAGAAGGAGAAAAGGAACAAGTATAACTTGTCCATAATGATTATAGTGGTGAAACAGCCTGCAGCTTTGGTCATAAGCTCTGTTAAATGCAAGCCAATCCCATTCCTTTTGGGTAGTGAATACCATAATACATTAGTCTGCATCAAATGGTTTCAGAATGCTGTTCATCTTTTTACAACAGCTATCACATCCGTTCATGGATGGTTTAAACTCCACACCCTTCTCTCAGGACAGTTGCCTAGTGTGCAAGTGTTACGCTGAGCTCAGGAAATCAAAGAAATGCATCCAGTAATAACATTTAGGCATGGATGGAGAAAAGTGATCTGGCTTCTTATTCTGTAAAAAAATCTAATAGCAAACAGAATTTTGGGAATGCCACGTGAAGAACTTTGGAGAAATCTAGATGGTATAAGAAGCTTCCATCTTGATGAGGCACAAGGGAGTTGGAAATCATGTAAATAGCTTTTTGTGTGTTAAATAGTTTGAAGGATACCAGAAGATGGTTCTAGAAGGAAAATAAAGCAGAAGAGGTGATCAAAGAGGATGGAAAATCTTCCGTTAGGAAAGATGTAGAATATTTACTATGTTAGACAGTATTTTGGGGGAATGAGGAGTCCTTAGGACATATGGAACTTGACAGAGTGTAAGATGAAGCTACCACTGTGACAGAGCTGTGAAAGGTGTTGTGCCAGCCGTGACCTTGATTGATGTTCCTGCTTATGTCAATGAGACTGATGTTACTATGTGTTGCCCAAGTATGGCCAAAAGTTCTTCTGAAAACTGATCTTCCTTCTTAAGAAACATAATTCACTCTATTTAGCATGTAAAGTATTTGAGGTGACTCTCAAAATATTTAGAGTCCGAACACTAAAAAGCATGAAAACCTTGAGATACCATAACTGTTTCCAAAGTTCTTGGCTGTAGAACTGGAGTTATAAACTTTGCCAGGTCTGCTTTCCAGACTGCCTTATTTCCACTTGAAGTGGTTGTCCCGCATGAATTCCTTTGTGGGAGCATATGGGCAAGATAACTGTTTTTTTTTAATGGGGCTCAGAAAGTTTGTGGAGGAGAGTGAAAGGCTAGGTCCTGTCCTTGATGGCAATAGACTGTGTTCTGCTGCTGCCGGCTGAGCTTTTGTGACTTAAGTGAACTGAGCAGCTCTTACAGTCAACATCCAAGTAGCAGTGGACATCGCGGTTTACAAAAATGATGTTAAAGGCTTGAATTTTTCAAGCATCTGCATTTGAGTCCTAGAAAGCCATTAACCTGGTTCTAGTAATAAAAAAAAAAAAAAAACAACACCCAAACTATTTGGCATTTCAAAAGCAACATCTTGTGTCCTGTTGTGTAGATGCTATCAGTGGAAAAAATGTTTCGTTCTGCCTGTATAATCTCAGATGAAGTCTGTTCTTTTATGACAAATTTAGTTCCCAGAGCAGTTTACAGATTTCCTTGCATGTAGCTGAAGGAAAAAAAAAATCAACACTTCAGTGAAAACCGTGTCCTAATTTCTGTGTTGAAATACAAAGCTTCTGCCAGTTATATGTCTTGTCAGAAAAAAAGGGAAACAATTAAAGAAATGCTGACTTCTAAAGCTGAAATTCAAAGTATCAGTTAAAAAAATCACGGAAATGTCTAATTTTAAAATCTTTTGGATCTGCCCTCAAGTCTTGTGAACTAAAAGAATGAAGAAAAGTTTGAATAAAAAGCCTCAAGGAATTCTGGCAGACGAGACAAACTAAACATTCTTGCAACATGTCCTGGGTTTTGAGAGGTTATTATGGAATGACCTTTTCTGAGAGTGACTAAAGAAATAAAATATGAAAAACAAATCTGATTTTAAAAGCAGTGAAATGCAATCATGGCTTGAATTTTATCGCTGACAGTGATTAAAATGTGACCCTTGAATTAATTTCGCTTGAGGCTGTCAAATAGATTCTGCAGTGCTGTTAGGGTTCAGATTTAGAAATGGTAAATTGAATTCTGAAAGGACATTGCCTGGCATTTGAAGTTACTTGGAGGAATTAATTTTGCTCATGACTGGCTGTGTATCTGAGAGGGGGAAGATTGAATTCAGCCCAAGGGACAGCACCGGGGTCGGTTCAGTGCCTGGATGAGGAAGAACCATTGTGGTGTTGGGCACAATGACATCCACCTTGAATGTGTCCTTCTGGTGAGGGCCGTTTGCAGTGTGTTGAAGTGGGGCTGCTTTTTCGATGTGCTATAATCAGTGTCATCCATGCATATGACACCCTACCAACATTCCTTACAAGCTCCATTCATCAATGGATGCCTCTTCCCAGTGCCACCATGGCCAGAGCTACTGGTGTGGAGGGGACTTCTAATGTGTTTAAGCTGTATATATCAAGACTCCTAATTCTCTGAGAATTCTCCCTAGGAGGAGAAGTGACACTTACCAGGTCATAGATGTAACTGCCACAGGAGGAAGAAGCCACCAGTAGTAATCCCCTTTTTCAGAGTAGACAGCCATGAGCAGTCCCACCAAGATCCCGTTATAGCCGTACAGCCCAGCGGCAATGGCTGATCTGTGATGGGAAGAAATGTTCTCAAGGCAGCAAGCTGTGCTGAAGGTGACCTGTCACAGGGACCCACTGAAACACAATTAATAAGTGTCCTGCTCCTGATGAAACGAGTGTCGGGAAAGGATGAAAAAGTGTCAAGGTTTCTGCCATATTGCATGGCACCGGTGCATGGAAGGGAAGAGTTTGGAGACTATTGAATTATGATGATCCAGGGTGGTTCCCATGACCCAAAGGACCTACATCTCTCTGACGATGGCTACCAGAGAGAAAGAACTGTCTGCTCTCAGAAAGACAGCCAACTATGGGGACAGGCCAGCTCTTCCTGGACCACCTGGACTTCTTGCTTCCAACCCATCCATAAGGAAAGTTGGTCTGCTGGCTCCAACATACTCAAATATGGGGCTATGACTCATCAGTGGGTTCCTGATACCATAACAATCAATTTTTATTAAATGCCTGGACCTGAGGTACCACATACCTGTCCTGACTGAGGACCAGTGCAGTTAATGTCGACATGGTTGTTCCAGTACAGCCCATGAGCGCCCACCAAGGGCTCTGGATGAAAAGCCCCACTAAAATGAGCAGCCCACTGAGAGGGTTGTTGACGAACATCACCTGAGATGTTCCTCGCAAAATCCAATCCACCAGCTGGACCGTTAGGGGCTTATCTGGAGGAGATCAGATAAAAAAGCTGGTGATAAGGCATCATTTCAGCA